AGCATCTTTTGGCGCCTTATCGTGCCACCACCGCATATGCCTGGGCCCTCTTGTTGTTCCAAGCACGTCCCACATCCGTGGTCCCCTTCCTGAAAGATGCAAAGCCCACCCTCCCCCCTGAAACTGTGGTGTTGCAGCTGGTACCGGGTGTGCGCCTTTTGGATTTTTTTGGATCTTACGCTTGCTTGGTGCCCTCGAAGACATCAAACTCATGTTCTTGGCTATGCAGATAGCATCCAATTACCCTGTCCCTGACTAACATGGAAAACCCCACATGCATCTTGTAGAACGGACAATAGCTGGAAAAAAAAGCTCATACTGAAATTCAGACTCTAAGCTTATGGGGGTTCAGGGCAAGATTGTTAGTATTTTGCACCACCAAGCCAGCCTCAACTCCAAACACTGCCCCCCTAACATCCCTCACAGTAACTTGGAACCCCATATAGGCCTTTCTCAGCGAACGGGCACCTTTAGACGTACCATGTTAGTGGTGGAGAAGGTAGATACCGTCAAAGTAAACGCTGACAACCCACGTGGCGGCAGCTGCCAATGCTGCACCATACTTTGACGGCCCAGGAATAAGAATCACGGCCTAAACACGACACCCAAAATTCTATTAGCTTTGTTTGCTGACTTCTGTTTAGCACCTTTCTTGTGCTCCCGTTGTTATTATTGCAGCTATTATTGCGCCCAGAAGCCCCTCCAGAATTTCTTGTTTGCCACTTCCAAAGCATTTTTTGGGGTTGAGACACGCACGCGGGGACAAGGCCAGGTCGCCTTTGGAACCTGCTTGCCTCAAAGCTCGAAGTGCCTGTCGCGCTCCTACCAAGTTCGCGCAACTCCTGCGTCACTATCGTGTCTGATTTTAATCTCACGTTTTCCGCCAGAACTTTTGTAGAGTGGGCACTAGCGAGCGCGTGCTAGTGTACGGGAAGCCCCTTGTGTTCAGGCCGATTGAACAGCAGTGTGAACGCCATAGGCACCATTCGAAAGGCAGAATATGCAACTCCTCCAGCTCTTGTATGCTCGCCACAAAAAAGCCAGTATATCAACTGACAACATCACGTGCCGTACAGGAAGCGGGCCCCTCAAGCTGAGACATATGATGAGAGCCAGCCAATCTGTTACATCGCGCAAAAGCACGTCGGTATATATATATATATAGAATGTGGCATACGTGCAACCTGAAACTCCTGAAGCCTACCTTAGACTATTCTGGACACTGTGCGCAAAGACAGGTGGTGCCTTGGATAATAAATACTATTGTTTGGGTACTGCCCCCACCCAGTAACAGTCTATATTGGGGGTCCTATTAAGGGCCATATATAGCCATATTATAATTATTATCCAACTGTTACTGAGGGGGGGAGTACCCAAACTACTGTTATGATCGCTCTTATCATGATGATGTTGTATGACAGCTTTGCTCCGAACATCCCCAAAGCCTTGGAGCCAAGCCCGTGAACGCCTCGAACTCCCAAGTCTTCAATTTAGGTTTAGGGTTTGGGGTTTATATAGGGTTTAGGGTTTAGGGAGTCTAGTTGTTCGGTTCTGTTAGGGATTTTGTTTTGGGGGGTTTTGGGTTTGGGGAATTGGGGGTTTGGGGGTTTAGGGTTTACGGTCCTTGGTTTCCTTGAACTCCAAGTCTTCCACTCTGGTGACCCACGCGTTCCGGATGTCCACCTGAAGGCACGGTTCTGAAGTATTGTAGGGTGTAGGGTTTAGGGTTCAGGGTTTATGATTTAGGGTTTAAGGTTTAGGGTGAAGCCTGTAGAGGCCTGACTAAACAGCAAGGAATATCATCACATCCTCTGATAGTTCGTAGTAGCTACGGCAGAATATGCCCCAAAACCTCATTGCAGATAGCCATGCCATTAGGGACCGCTGGAATATTTCAGGAAAGCCTAATCCCTATACACTTCTATGGAAAAGCCCTGTTTTCATTTCAATTTGCATTTTCGTTTTCATTTGCTTCTCCACTATCAGGGCTGCGCTTCTAAACCGTCGTATTACCCTAAATTATCCCTACATCAACCCCAATAATCCGTAGGTAAAACCCTATAATCACACCCGAGTTCCCTTAGTATGCCCTGATGCCGAAGCCATATATTTACCGGGGTTTAAGACTTTCAAGCCAGAATTGTTGTGAAGACTTTGAGGTCTAGGGACGGTTGGCCTCGTTATCTATGTTTAGGGTCTAGGGCTTGGTACGTAAGAGAGGTTGAGGATTTAAAGTCATCATATGAGCCATTGTCTAAGTAGTCCCCTATACAATCTCCTACATATCCCCCTTTAAGGAGTTTAGACTATAGCTCATATTGGTTTGTTGTTGGTATACCTAATACATACCTGCTAGGAACCTCTCAAGGGGCCAAAGCCCAAAGCCCCCTACTAGAACTCCAAGACTACAGAAGCAACAGCATGTAGAGCTCCCCTTGACGGCGTTTTCGACCCTAAACCCTAAACCCTAAACCCTAAATCCTAAATCCTAAATCCTAAACCCTAAACCCTAAATCCTAAATCCTAAATCCTAAACCTAGACCCTAAATCCTAAATCCTAAATCCTAAACCCTAAACCCTAAACCCCATATTCCATCTACTTAAGGGGGATTTCCTGTAGCGGAGGGTCAAAAGTTGAGGCCTTACGCGCGTAAGGTAGAAAGTTGCCATGCCCGGGCTATAGGTGAGGGCTTTGTAGGGTTTACTGGGTTGCTGTTAAGGAACTGAAATTAAGTTACTATATTGGGGAAACCCTCATATACTGATTATTTGCTATATATACCCATTATGGTAACTTAATTGAAGTTCCTTAACAGCAACCCAGTTTAGTGCTTAGTTTTTGATGTGTTTTGGATTTGGGGGCAATTGAGGTTAAGGGCTTAGGGCCGTCATAATGGCTTGGGATTGGTTTTTTCAGGGTTACGAGCAGAAGCATCATAAGAAATCCCGCTAATCTGGGAGTGCTGAGTATGTAAATTACCATTGGAAATGGGGTCGCGTGCGGTCGCTGTAATGTGCCCAGCATGGTGCAGCTTACAGAAGCTTGGTTTAGATTCGGACTACATGGGCATTTACAGGGGCTGTCATGGAGTGCTACGCAAAAGGGTCCTCTTTTCTTCCGCTGCCCTAAACCCTAAACCCAAAAACTCCCAACCCTAAGCCCTAAACCCTAAACTCAAGGCCTAGGCCGCCCACCGACCAAGATGGACATAACATAACCCTAAACCCAAAAACCCTAAAACCCTGAACCCTAAACCCAAAGCCCTACGCGGTCACTGAAATCATGCCCATCTGCACAGGTCTTCTCGGGCTTGTTTACGGCCTGGGCTGAGTTCTTGCTTCCGAACAGCTGGCGATCAGAATAGGGTTTAGGGTTTATGGTTGCCGCAGAAAGAGAATGAGTAGTTTCTGAAAAGTAGGAATAGCTAATGTTCAACTGACTGTAAAAACTCTTCGCCAGAAAATGAGCTGCGTTTTTTCTCCACGAAATGGGGGAGGGAAGTCGCAATAATGAACTGGGCAGGTGGGGGTAGGACTAAGCAGAACAGGTAATCGTTCTAGTAGGACAAATAACAGAAAATCATCCTTTAAAATGGGGATAGTTCGGGCGCGGTGATGTATGATTGCCACCCCTTAATTAATGCCGATCGAGCTTGATTCTGGGTGTTCGTGCCGGCCCGGCGTGAGTATCCTAGCTCAACTGTTAATTGTAGCGGCGGCTGTCGCCGCAGCAGTGGACGCAATTTGATAAAATTAAAGCCCTAAACCCTAAACTGTAGTCTAGGTCGATCCGCTAGCAGCTTGTGGTCTTTTTGGTATTTCAAATTTGGTACGGATAGCGGCTGAAGCGACTACAGCCAAAGCAAGGCGGTTGTAGGTAGGATAACTCTGATATGAGGGGCTAGGGTATAAGGTTTAGGGTGATTCGAACCTACTTTACAGGACGTATAACTCTAAATCTGACTTTCCATGAATCTTGAAGTGATCAGCTGGTGCAGGGAACCCTACTGGCTCCACACTTCACCGTTGTGATCCGTGATCCTTAAGCGCTTCTGCTGTTGACTATCGTGCTTTGCAACTGGGGCTCTATCATACAGGTTTCCAAAACAGAGGCGGCAATATATACTCCCACAGAGGGACCTTACAAATTTTGAAACCACCATGTAGGGTTCCAGTGGGGAAGGGTAGCCCAGACCGACACTCCAGATCGTGCACTAACGTGTCTTCAGGGAACAGGATACCCGAAACTCTATACCCTAAGGAAGTGCAGAAGCCTGAAAGACTGGTAATGCCAGTCGCTTAGACTGTGTAAAAAAGTTCCGCAACAGTGACCCAAACCACCAAAATTAGGACCCGATAAGTGTCGTACGATAATTATATGGCTGGGGTTGGCGGTACAAAACACCCCTACTACGGAAGACTTGCAAGAGGACAGGGAAGTCCAGTGATGGCAACCAAAGATCACAACTGTCAAGCGATGAGTTAAGGGGTTTAGGCTGGTTGGGGGGTTTGATATGAGGCCATTTATAAAGGGATATAGAGGGATTAGGATTTAGGCTTTACTTGGAAGCCTGTATGAAAGTCTGCCTACTTTCCCCTTACAAGCCCCAAAGCCTCTATTACTATTACTAAGTAGACAGTTACCAAGTCAAGAGAGCCTCCAGGTAAGATTTTGGGCGTCAATTTCTGATGAGGTTTCCGAGACTGGGGGAACGCATTGTAGCGCATTGTATATTCACACATGTGTATATATTTATATCTACATATGCTGCAATACCAATATGCTCTTATCCTTATCACAGAGACTCGCGCAAGGCGATCTCCAATTAGAAACAACATAATGCTAGCAACACTCCCAGAAATCCCCGCAATATTTAGCACCTTCCCGCCCTGCAGGACGTTTGTGCCGCTTGACAAGCCTCGTATAGGGGCAGTTGACATTAGGGCCTGGGAAGTATCAGTTGTGATATGGCATATGGAAGTACATGTCAAAGTCCGCGAGACACCTCCCCAGCTTGGAGCACTTACTTATTGATCAGCCTACATCCTGAAGTCTCGATATAGTAACATCTACCCACATCTACTCCCCCCATCTTCTATCAGACCAGAAACCTTAAGCTGAACCGTACACTCAAACTGCACCANNCCCCCCCCCCCCCCAATCCTAGATCCTACATTGCAACAAGAGCCTCAATCGGTTCAAGGCGATTACGGCAAAAAACAACTTATAGCAAAGTAGTATCCTGTAGGACCTCATGAGTCATAACTTCAATTATGTATGACACCAGTGTTTGTGAATATACCTATCTATACTTGGTCTACCGTCCTCTTTTCGAAGTCCCGCCTCCATCAGCTCTAGCGCGCTTTTCTGAACCACATTCTCGGGCGCCTTGCGGAAATCTGTTCATGACTTGCTGGCTCTAGGGAATGATAAAGGGCAAAAATAATTCCAAAACTACTATAGAGCTTAAGGTTTAAGAAATGGAGAAGAAGATGGAAACTACCATATTCTTTGGGGTTATGTGGGGGCTACTACGGGATCCACTCTGTCGTTCTCTACTAACAACCCTTAAGAATCATGAACGTGCAAAATCCTGCGGTCCATCTAGTACATAACCGCAGTTTCCATTTAGTTTCCCATTTTCTTTCCAATTTGATTCTCCATTATGAAGGTAATGTCCCTAAACCCCATATAATTCCTATATAACCCTAATCTTGGGAAACCTCCAAGTGATACTACAGGTGTTGGTCGTAATACTAGTACTATACTGAGGAGTAACAAGAAACTCCTATCAAGTATCAAGTGGGTCAAGTTGTTGACAGGGCTGGTGCAACTCTGTTTAGGGTTTGGGGTTTCGGGCTCCCTTGACTGGAACTCTGCCGTCGCTAAACAATGAGACAGTAGGCATGGAGTTTCCTTTGCAAGGTTGGCAAAATTAGGTTTTTCTGGGGATTCCCAATATAATATGGACCCTCATATTTAGGGCACTCAAAACGCACCATAGTCTTGACAAGCTTTCATGCGCATCTCTAAGTGGAGTCAACAAAAATCGTCCGCACAAGCAAAAGCAGGATCTTCACGGGGCTCAAAAGGTGGGATGGAGGTAGGTGGGGTAAAGGAAATACGCCCCAATATAGTAGAATCTACAAAAAGGATCCTTTAACCCACCTAGCTTTATCCTGCCTTTTGAGCCAGCCCTTTGAGATCTTGAAGATGTTGGGCATCCTCTAGACGGTCAGCGTTGCATCCCTCAATACTGCACCATGAAGCTGGGCGTGCGCCTCCTGCATACCCCCAAATAATGGCTAAAATGCCTGTTTTGATGGGATCCAAGGTAACTATGGGTTTCTTCTAGACCTTTCATAGACATTCCTGACGCTCAAGACCCGAAGCTTGAAATCCTGGACTCCAAAACCAGGCCTGCAAAAGCTCGATGCTGACATTCCTTGGTTCACTTCGGGGGCTCGGCTCCACATTGATTAGTCTGGGTTGGTGTTACGGAACTTGAACCCTAAACCCTTTCCACCCATATTATGATAAGTTAACTGAAGCTATTTAACAGCAACCCAGTAATTAGTTGCAAGCTTCTGGTCGTAGCGACTCTAAACCCTTACAGCCCATTGCAGGCCGTCAAACGAAGACTTGAAACCTTTAGTGCCAAATAGCTGATAACACGGCTATGACGCATATAGCAGCAACCTCAACGGACCCTTGGCCCCTTTCAGACAGGTTCCAAATCCTATCGTGACTCCGCAGGCGTCCCAAACTCGACTACTATTCTGACTACTACTAGTACTGGTACTAGTACTAGTACTAGTGCTAGTGCTAGTCGTAGTAGTTGTAGTAGTTGTAGTAGTAGTAGTAGTAGTAGTGGTGGTAGCAGCAGCAGCAGCAGCAGCAGTAGCAGCAGCAGCAGCAGTAGCAGTAGCAGTAGCAGTAGCAGTAGTAGCACTAGCAGTAGCAGCAGCAACAACAAAGACACCCATACAAGTAATCATAGCATTAAAGGTAATAATGGCAAAACTGAACCCAAAAGATGAAGCTCCTGGCCAACGGCTTCAACCCCAAATCCCGAAACCCGCAGCCCCAGCCCAAAAAATCAACGTAGTAAAATAATCATACAATAATATACGGCTTAGTAATGTAGTAAATACAATACTAGCCTAGTAAACTACCATGGTAATGTAGTAATGTAGTGCTGTCGCGATATAAAACCTTAGGAGAGTAGTATATTAATGCAGGAATATAGTCGCGTCATGATGTACTCATGCAGCATGTAGAAATGTAGCAATGTAGCCAGAAAATCTAGCTGTCCCACCCCGAGCCTCCACACGAACCAACCTGTGCATCTACTTGGAGGTTCATGGGCAACCTCAATGGGGCCACATGGTGGAACATAAGCCAGTAGATACTAATACTACGTCCCATGACCGCCTGAGTAACGCTGAGCCTAAACCCTAACACCAAAGTTCTACTTATTCCCTGAACCCGAAGCCCTTATCCTGTAACCCCGCCGCTTCTGAAGCCCAATTGCCTTGCATCTTAAAGTAAACCCTAAGCCCTCAAGCCTAAACCCTGAACCCTAAAGCCCAGTTGCGTTGCATCTTGGCAATTCAAGAAATGCTTCCGGCCGGGCGGAGAGAAGTCCAGCGCAGGGCCTTTCAGGACCAAGGCCTCGCAAGTGGTGTTGAAGATTAAAATACTTTAGGGTTTAGGGGTTTGGGGGTTTAGGAGATTAGGCTTAAGGGTTTAGGGCTTAAGTTTAGGGTCTAGGGTGTAAGGTCATGGAAATGAACTGGAAACTGGGGCTATGCGGGGGGGACTATATAATTAATGCATTCAGCTTCACGAGTTGCGTCGTTGAAAGGGCTTGGAAGCTTTGCAGGTCTCTGTGGTTGATTGGCGAGGCCCGGCTATAGGGGCTGATATCATAAATATTTGAATATGCCCTGTGTATACGATTACATAAATGTGTGTACGTGTTTTGTATCTATATATATATATAGATTTATAAATGTTTGTATGTTGAATTGGACCTACAGGGTATAGCAGGATGTCACGGGATCCTGGCAGGGTGGATATCCTGCAAAGGTTTCCCCATCAAGCCATCTTGAAAAGATCTTTGGCATGAGTGGCTAATCAAATTTGGCGGTGGCTCTTGGGGGGCGGGGGTCGTCGCTGAAGGGTTCAAGGTCTGGTGATTTACGTGTTTGGCAAAAGTCGATGCAAAGCCTCATTTTCCTTTACGCCGTCAGCTTCGCAAGGCCTACATAATTGTCTTGCAAGACTTCACGAATGAGGTGCTGCCTCAGGATCAGAGAATCGCCGTGCGAAGCGAGCATCGGTCAACGACATGATAGAGGCAAGCTTGGCCAGGCAATCACGATGCCGCAGCATCTTCACGCGATGACGCAAGCGGCTGCAGCTGTAGCTCAAAACGCAAGGGATTGCAGACAATCATATTGCAAACATGCTGTCCAGAAAAATGTGCAATTGAAAAAACGGACTTGCGAGACAGATTGCCCTCGATGCTGTAGCCCAAGACTGAAGGACAACTAGCAACGACTTTGGCCATTTGCGCTCGGCTCAGCCCAACACCTCAAGCCAGGCCAATTTGGGTCTAAGATTGCCATGGATGCTGCTGCTCAAGACATGCGGCTTCACAGAAATGACTGTGGCCACTTGCGTTCGGCTCAGCCCAGCATCCTCGAGCATAGCCACTATGGGTTTCAACTTGCCCTTGATGCTACAGGCCAAGACTCTGGGGCAAGTAAAAATGACTTTGGCCGCTTGCGCTCGGCTCAGCATAACATCCTCAAGCCAGGCCAATTTGGGTCTAAGATTGCCCTCGATGCTGTAGCCCAAGACTGAAGGACAGCTGGCAATGACTGTGGCCACTTGCGTTCGGCTCAGCCCAAGATCCTCAAGCATCGACATTATGGGCCTCAACTTGAACTCGATGCTACAGTAAAAGACTGAAGGACACTTGGCAATCACTTTGGCAACTTGCGTCCGGCTCAGCCCAGCATCCAGGAGCCAGGCTACGGTTGGCCTCAGATTGTCCTTGATGCTTTGGACCAAGACTGGAGGACAAGTGGCAATGACTTTGGCTGCTTGCACTCGGCTCAGCCCAACATGCTTAAGCAAGGCTACTGTGTGTCCCAGATTGCCCTCCATGCAGCACCAACAGACTAAAGGGAAGCTGGCGATGACTTGGGTCACTTGTGCTGGGCTTAACTCAGCATCCTGAAGCCATGCCAACGTGGGTCTCAACTTGTGCTCGATGCTACAGCCCAAGACTGAAGGACAACTGGCAATGACTTTGGTCAGTTGTGCGCGGCTCAACCCAGCATCCAGCAGCATGGCCACTACAGGTTTCAGCTTGCCCTCGATGCTACAGCCCAAGACTGAAGGACAACTAGCAACGACTTTGGCCATTTGCGCTCGGCTCAGCCCAACATCCTCAAGCCAGGCCAATTTGGGTCTAAGATTGCCATGGATGCTGCTGCTCAAGACTTGCGGCCTCACAGAAATGACTGTGGCCACTTGCGTTCGGCTCAGCCCAACATCCTCGAGCATGGCCACTATGGGTTTCAACTTGCCCTCGATGCTACAGCCCAAGATGCTGGGCCGAGTAAAAATGACTTTGGCCGCTTGCGCTCGGCTCAGCATGACATCCTCAAGCCAGGCCACTGTGGGTCTGAGACAGTCCTCGATGCTGTAGCCCAAGACTGACGGGAACTTGCCAATGACTTTGGCCACATGCGCTCGGCTCATCCACAGATCCTCAAGCATCGCCACCATTGGTCTCAACTTGCTCTCGATGTTACAGTAAAACACTGAAGGACAACTGGCCAACACTTGGGCAACTTGCGACTGGCTCAGCCCAGCATCCATGAGCCAGGCTACGGTTGGCCTCAGCTTGTCCTTGCTGCTTTGGACCCAGATTGAAGGACAAGTGGCCCTGACTTTGGCTGCTTGCATTTGGCTCAGCCCAACATGCTTAAGCAAGGCTACTGTGTGTCCCAGATTGCCCTCCATGCAGCACCAACAGACTAAAGGGAAGTTGGCGATGACTTGGGTCACTTGTGCTGGGCTTAACTCAGCATCCTGAAGCCATGCCAACGTCGGTCTCAACTGGTGCTCGATGCTACAGCCCAAGACTGAAGGACAACTGGCAATGACTTCGGGCAGTTGTGCGCGGCTCAACCCAGCATCCAGCAGCATGGCCACTACAGGTTTCAGCTTGCCCTCGATGCTACAGCCCAAGACTGTAGGACAACTGGCAATGACTTTGGCAACTTGTGATCGGCTCAGCCCGGAATCCTCAAGCAAGGCCACTGTGGGCCGCAGCTTGCACTCGATGTTCACACCCCAAATTCTTGGATACTTGCCAGCAAGAGATGCCATGCTTGAGTTTGAGAACCCTAGCTCCGTCTGCAAAAAAGTATGCATCTTGACATGCTTGCTTTCAACATCGCTTGTGAGCTGCACCTTACCCACAAAATCGAGTGCGCGGAGGAATCTCTGGCCTGATTTTGCATCGCTCATCCGCTGAAGACGTCTGCTCACATCTGGCCGCAGATCCCCTTCCAACTCACTTGAAAGTACACTTGCGACTTGCCGTACCGCATTGATGAGAGACCGTGGCTGCCCTCTACGCCACCTGTCTACAGTTGCTTGAATCGAGTTCTTCCTTCCTCCGAAATATCGAGGTGCGTGGCCTATGCGAAGCACCCGTGACCCGAGTGGAGCGTGCTTCAGCAAGGCTTTCGTCTTGCGCATGTCACGCAGTTGCCCCTCGGTGGCGTAATGACAAGGATGGCCATCATACTCAACGAACAACACTGCACTTGACCTTCTCAGAACTCCGTAGGCAGTGATGTCTGGGCACAACCATCGTACCCCCCACGCCTCAGAGGGCTCCACCGGATAATCGCGAAAGAGCTCACCTATGGGTTCTGCTGGCATTAATAGCACCGCGAGGTGAGACAGGAGCTCCACCTCTGCGTAGCTGCGATGCACGGTGCGGGGCCGTCCCGCCCTCCACAAGGCCGGCGCGCCACAGGCTGCGAGGCCACACGCAAAGCAACTCAGGAGCCCAACACGGAGGCTGCCAGCTCTCAAATGCCTCCGTGAGCCCACAGACATGTCCCTTCTGCGCTCTGGGTGCGGTGGTCTCTTTACACCTTGCGATCCGGAAAACATTCCTGCATATCTAGCAGACCTTTTTTTTGGATCTGCAGTCTTGAATCGAAGCAGAAGCATCATTTATCGAGACCACCGTCCCCTGGCATCCAGGAAGCCCCCCGACCTCTTAAAGCTCCAACGCGGCTCGAGTGTTAGAAGCTTTGCTACGGATTCAGCTGAAATGCCACGTTTTTGTCTTTGACATGTTGCAGACTGAAGACATTATGCCTGCAATAACCTTTCCAAAGCTGGGCGGTGCTTTGAGATAGGTTGGCGACCTCTGTTCCTTTCTTGGACCACCTTGTGAGATAAGGGACCTCATGGACTTTCCCTTGGCAAACCCCATCTTATACTCTACTAGCTTGCTGTTATGGAATTTGACCAAATTACACCGGTGTGGGTACATACTAAAACTGACTTCCTTATATAATGGTAGCTGAAGCTAAGGCCTTAGCACCACCTCAGCCTAGGCGCATTCTTCTCTTTTCCTGAACTTCTTCTTTGCAAACCTCAACCCTAAACCCTGAACCCAAGACCCTGACCGCGGAACCTAAAACCCTCAACCCCAGCCCAAGACCCTGAACCCAAAAGCCTCAAGAACCAAAAGCCCTAAACACTGAACCCAAAACCCTAAAACCTGAACCCCAACCTATTTCCAAAGGCTCCTTTCCCCACACCTGGCCTTCAGTCCGGTAAGCCGGACGACTGCGCCAACTTGGAGGGCCGGATGCCTAAAGTTTTCGGGCTTTGAGGTTTTGAGGTTTTTGGTAATGGGGTGTACAGGTCCAGGAATTTTGGGATCAGGGTTTAGGGATTT